AGTACAGAGGCTCCTCCCCATTCAGAACCTGCTGATAGTACAGAGGCTCCTCCCCATTCATTCAGAAACTGCAGACAGATATATATTTACTATCAGCAGGTTCTGAATGGGGAGGAGCCTCTGTACTGAGCGCTTCTCCCCATTGGTGAAATCTTGAATGAACAGGAAGTGATGTAAATCACGGCCTGGTCATTCATAACTGGGGACACATAGTACTACGTGATCAGACGATGGCTCCGGTGTTTGTCCTTCTCACACGGAGGACCGGTAAGTATCACTGATATTCACCCATCCCCCGCTCTGCCACGCACAGAGCCGCTGTCATCCTGACACTGACAGGATGACAGCGGCTCCGATCTCCTCCCCGCTCGGCCTCTCTCCTGAAGTGAGGGGAGTGGGGGGGATGAGGGAGCGCTGTCATATCGGATGGCCAGCGCCCAGCGGTGAGGGGGAGAGAAGCCGCCCCCAGGACGAGCTGTGTCGGCCGCACGGCGCCCTTGTTGCCATGGCGCCCTATGCGGCCACACAGCTCGCACACCCCTAAGGCCGGCCCTGTCTCCATGATGTGTGAGGACGGCACCGAGTCTTCTCGGCACGGAATGAACACGTTGGCGACATATTACAACAGGGGTAGCCAAACTCCGGCCCTCCAGCTGTGGGGGTGAAACTACAAATCCCATGAGGCATTGCAAGATTCTCACAGCCACAGGCGTGACTCCCGGAGAGAGATGCATCATGGGATTTGTAGTTTCACCCCCACAGCTGGAGGGCCGGAGTTTGGTTACCCCTGTATTACAACATCGATCTTCTTCTAGAGCCGGGATGCCGGATGGAGAGCGATGATTGACTTGTCTCTTCAGAATCCCCCAGACGTGTTCCATTGGGTGCAGATCAGGAGACATACGTGTTCCATTGGGTGCAGATCAGGAGACATACGTGTTCCATTGGGTGCAGATCAGGAGACATACGTGTTCCATTGGGTGCAGATCAGGAGACATACGTGTTCCATTGGGTGCAGATCAGGAGACATACGTGGCCACTGTCACCCGGCTCCTCTTCAGTGGCCTGAGATGTGTGTTTTGGGTCATTGTCATGTTGGACCGAGGACACGGAGTGATGGCGGCACCTAGAGCAGTACATGTGTGAGTTCATGATCCCACCAATGAGATGCCGTCCCACAGACAGCATGAGACATACGTGTTCCATTGGGTGCAGATCAGGAGACATACGTGTTCCATTGGGTGCAGATCAGGAGACATACGTGTTCCATTGGGTGCAGATCAGGAGACATACGTGGCCACTGTCACCCGGCTCCTCTTCAGTGGCCTGAGATGTGTGTTTTGGGTCATTGTCATGTTGGACCGAGGACACGGAGTGATGGCGGCACCTAGAGCAGTACATGTGTGAGTTCATGATCCCACCAATGAGATGCCGTCCCACAGAAGGACACGCCCACCTCCATGTGTCACGGTAGGCACCGCGCATTTCTCTTTGTACTCCTCACCTTGCAATGCCATAGAGTTCCAAAATCATTGTACAGAGTCCCAGCAGGGGCCCCGGCACATTGGAGGCGGGGCTTTAGGAGAGTGTAGCGATATCCTCCTATATAATATATCCTTCTATATATCCCCCTATATAATATATCCCCCTATATAATATAAATACCCCTATATAATATAAATACCCCTATATAATATATATAATATATCCTCCTATATAATAGCACAGGCACACTGACAGGTCCTATGGAGACATTAGAGGTCTCTAGGACCCCTGATGTCACCTGGGGACCCCCCAGAGAAGCTGATGAAGCCGAGATCTCCTCCCCCGGCTCCTTCTCTCCGGCTATAGCAGCCGGGTGACTGACAGGTGAATGCGGATGTAATACTCGTCACTTCCACATTCACAGCCCGGAGCTGACCTCCCTCCCATCTGACCTCCTGACGCTCCCCCGAGCCGGTCCCGGGCCGCAGATGGGCCAGCGGATCCCGGCATTGAAGGTGAGGGGTCAGGAGGGGGCGAGAGACAAAATTGCGCCATACAACCGATCGGCGGCCCGTGCGCCAGCAGGAAAAACATGGCGTCTGGAGACGGCAACCCGCTGATGCCACTCCGTCCGTCAAGAGGTTAAAGGGACAGGACTCCTCTGTGTACCACATGGCCAGTCTGTGGGAGGGGGCAGTCTGTGGGAGGAGCCAGAATCATCGTTGGTTGGTAGGGGATCAAATACTTCTTTTACTCCCTGAACTGAAACTCCATTTATAACATTTGTGTCATGTGACCTCTCCGATGATAACAATTATATCTGCCGGGGGGCCAATCATTATATTCCTCACTGTATACACGCACGCGTGTGAGAGATGTAGAAATCTCAGCTCCATGCAGAGTCTAGAGGGGAGGATTTGTGGGCGGAGACTGAGAAGACACGCCCCCAGCATGTTGTAGTCCTTCACATGCATCGGGTGGCTACAGCTCCCCTAGTGACCATGGAGAAGAGAAGTAGTCACAAGAGAGATTTCCCCCTCCCCTTTCTGATCCTCCAGTGCTGAGTGGCGGAACGGACGGGGGAGGGGGCGGGCATAGCGGGCTCTCTATAGGCAGAGCCCGCCGTCAATCACACGGCTGTGTGGATGTCAGTATACAGCGAGCAATAGACGTCTATATACTGAGCTTTGTGTCACGGGAGGAGGCGGGTATATCTCCTCACATGACCCTGCAGAGAACTATGGGGGGAAAACACGGACCCCACAGCTCTCCAACCCCCTCCCTGAACATCTCACAGCGTGTGTCCGGACCGGCTGACCCGGTTAGGTCATCAAGATGTCTCTGCCATGGCGGCCATGTACATTCCAGGAAGAAGAAGGCCCCCCCCCGGGTCACAAGCCCGCCTTCATTGTGTGTGGGAGGGGACAGCGAGCAGTACTGTGGGGAGCAAACATACTGCAATCATGGAAGATGAATGTTTCTGTGAGGTTTGTCCCTCTTCCTGCCTCAGTGACCACTTCCTCCTCATTGTTTTCTCTTGGTGTCACAAGGACAGGAAGTGATGGAAAAACACCCCAGTGGAGTCATAGACTGAAAACCCTTTCCAAAGTGATGAACAGGGGGAGGGGCGGGCCATACTGGGGAGGGGCCTCAAGGACTGATAGCAGAGTAGATGGCCGGTCACATGACTACTTACCTGCCGAGTATTTCCAGCAGTTCAGCAATTCCATTGTGATGTTCCGTCTCATAAATGAACCTGAGGAGAGAACACGGCAAATAAAACCCTTTCCCTGAGTCACCGCCACACCCCTTGTGGCCCCCATACCTGCCCGAGGGGCCCCCATACCCCCAATTACCACCCATCCCAGACCACCTACCTTCCCCTCCCCCACTGATGGCAGACCACCTACCTTCCCCTCCCCCACTGATGGCAGACCACCTACCTTCCCCTCCCCCACTGATGGCAGACCACCCACCTTGCACAGGAAGGAACACGTGACGCACCTGTAGAAGATGTTGTTGATGTGTCGCCTGATGTAAGCTCGGAGTCCCAAAAACTTCCCGTAGATTCTGTGCAAAATTGTCTTCAGGAAATCCCGTTCCCGAGGATCTTCACTATCAAACAGATCCAGGAGCTGGAGGCGGAGCCAACAGAGATATAAGCCGCCTCCCACAGATCACATGGCACACATCTGCCCTGCCACACGACACCATGCCAAACCCCATACCACACACAGCGACACCCACAGAGCCACACCCACCCGCACCACACACAGAGCCACACCCACCCGTGCCACACACAGAGCGCCACACACAGAGCCACACCCACCCCGCGCCACACACACACACAGCTTACCGATAGCACAAACTTCTGGTCGATGAATTTCTTGGCTACGTTGGGTTGGAAATCCGGAGACTCCAGAAATCTGAGAAAAAACTCATAAACCAGCTGGAGGGGGAGGAGACAGGAAACAGGAAGTAAGACTCTGCATACCGCTATATACTCCTATATATACCCCCCTATACACCCCGCTCTATACACCGCTATATACACAGCTATATACACCGATCTATACCCCCCTATATACACCGCTCTATACCCCCCTATATACACAGCTATATACCCCGCTATATACACCGATCTATACCCCCCTATATACCCCGCTCTATATCCCGCTATATACCCCCCTATATACACCGCTCTATACCCCCTATATACACCCTATATACACAGCTATATACCCCCCTATATACACCCTATATACACCGCTCTATACCACCCTATATACACAGCTATATACCCCGCTATATACACCGATCTATACCCCCCTATATACCCCGCTCTATACACCCCTATATACACCGCTCTATATCCCGCTATATACCCCCCTATATACACCGCTCTATACCCCCCTATACCCCGCTATATACACCCCTATATACCCCGCTATATACACCGCTATATACCCCCCTATATACACCGCTATATACCCCGCTCTATACACCCCTATATACCCCGCTCTATATCCCACTATATACCCCGCTCTATACACCCCGCTCTATACACCCCTATATACCCCGCTCTATACACCCCTATATACCCCGCTATATAAACCGCTATATACACCCCGCTATATCCCGCTCTAGACACCCCTATATACTCCGCTCTATACACCCCTATATACCCCACTCTATACACCCCTATATACACCGCTCTATATCCCGCTCTAGACACCCCTATATACCCCGCTCTAGACACCCCTATATACCCCGCTCTAGACACCCCTATATACACCACTCTATATCCCGCTATATACCCCTCTATATACACAGCTATATACCCCGCTCTATACCCCCCTATACCCCGCTATATACACCCCTATATACCCCGCTATATACACCCCTATATACCCCGCTCTATACACCTCTATATACACCCCTATATACCCCGCTATATACACCGCTATATACCCCGCTACGTCTTCTGAGCTGGAGAGGGCGCTGTCCTGTAACGTTAGTCTCTATGGTTCTATATACTGAATATTCTGATACAATGTCCTTCTGTACAAGAAAAACTTTATTCAGGATCACAGAACCAACAAATGGAACTGCCCCACCCCCGCCCGGCATTACCCTGCTTCCACCATACACATCTCACACACAGAGGGGGCCCCGGAATCTAGCTCCACCCCTCACACATGGGTCATATCCAGGCATGGCACCTAGGGGCCCCCTCAAGCTCCTCCCCCACAGATCACCTACATATGTCGTATCCAGGCATGGCACCTATGGGCCCCCTCAAGCTCCTCCCCCACGGATCACCTACATATGTCATATTCAGGCATGGCACCATCATCCCACCTAGGGGCCCTCTCAAGCTCCTCCCCCGCAGATCACCTACATATGTCATATTCAGGCATGGCACCTAGGGGCCCCCTCAAGCTCCTCCCCCACATATGTCATATTCAGGCATGGCACCTAGGGGCCCCCTCAAGCTCCTCCCCCACGGATCACCTACATATGTCATATTCAGGCATGGCACCTAGGGGCCCCCTCAAGTTCCTCCCCCACGGATCACCTACATATGTCATATGACACAGAAAGTAGTAAAAAAGGAGGAGTTAATAATAGTGGGCTCACTCCAGTCAATATAGGAAATCCGTTGGCACATGTAAGTATAACTAACAACGGACGACCGAAATCAAGGCAGAATAATAACAATAAAAATAGTGGGAACAACAAGGTAGTAAACTTTTGTCCCACAAAAAGAGAGGAATGAAATGTATGTACACCAACGCTAGAAGTCTGGCCAATAAAATAGAGGAGCTTGAAATTAGGCTAATTGAAGAGGACTTGGACATAGTGGGTATAGCGGAAACCTGGCTGGACAGCACGCATGACTGGGCTACTAATATAGAGGGGATATATACCCCGCTCTAGACACCCCTATATACACCACTCTATATCCCGCTATATACCCCTCTATATACACAGCTATATACCCCGCTCTATACCCCCCTATACCCCGCTATATACACCCCTATATACCCCGCTATATACACCCCTATATACCCCGCTCTATACACCTCTATATACACCCCTATATACCCCGCTATATACACCGCTATATACCCCGCTACGTCTTCTGAGCTGGAGAGGGCGCTGTCCTGTAACGTTAGTCTCTATGGTTCTATATACTGAATATTCTGATACAATGTCCTTCTGTACAAGAAAAACTTTATTCAGGATCACAGAACCAACAAATGGAACTGCCCCACCCCCGCCCGGCATTACCCTGCTTCCACCATACACATCTCACACACAGAGGGGGCCCCGGAATCTAGCTCCACCCCTCACACATGGGTCATATCCAGGCATGGCACCTAGGGGCCCCCTCAAGCTCCTCCCCCACAGATCACCTACATATGTCGTATCCAGGCATGGCACCTATGGGCCCCCTCAAGCTCCTCCCCCACGGATCACCTACATATGTCATATTCAGGCATGGCACCATCATCCCACCTAGGGGCCCTCTCAAGCTCCTCCCCCGCAGATCACCTACATATGTCATATTCAGGCATGGCACCTAGGGGCCCCCTCAAGCTCCTCCCCCACATATGTCATATTCAGGCATGGCACCTAGGGGCCCCCTCAAGCTCCTCCCCCACGGATCACCTACATATGTCATATTCAGGCATGGCACCTAGGGGCCCCCTCAAGTTCCTCCCCCACGGATCACCTACATATGTCATATGACACAGAAAGTAGTAAAAAAGGAGGAGTTAATAATAGTGGGCTCACTCCAGTCAATATAGGAAATCCGTTGGCACATGTAAGTATAACTAACAACGGACGACCGAAATCAAGGCAGAATAATAACAATAAAAATAGTGGAAACAACAAGGTAGTAAACTTTTGTCCCACAAAAAGAGAGGAATGAAATGTATGTACACCAACGCTAGAAGTCTGGCAAATAAAATAGAGGAGCTTGAAATTAGGCTAATTGAAGAGGACTTGGACATAGTGGGTATAGCGGAAACCTGGCTGGACAGCACGCATGACTGGGCTACTAATATAGAGGGGTATAACCTGTTTAGG